AGCTGGCATGAAAATTTCAGTAACAATCGTCTAGGGGAACGGGCCGATCGAACACGCGCCATCGAGCGCCAGCACGTGTGACCGGATTTATCCCGGTTACCGTCGACAGTTCGCCATCGATAGTTGGCCGTCGAGGCCGGAATCGAGTGGGTCCGCGGGGGTCCATTAACTCGCTGGAAAGACGGTCGAACCGGTTTTCCATAGTCGGATAAGGCTGAGTTTCCATCGGCGCGTGCGAGATATCGCGGCGGAGGGGGTGGGGACTTAGTTGCCGGGACTTTGTCGGCCAACCCCCTAACGGATGTGACTTCGCTGAGCTATTCGTAAAACCTGAACGGAATTTGTCGACTCGCAGCCGGACGCGTTCCAGTTTTCCACGACTTCGTCCTCGCGATCGTTTATTCTCCCATCCCTTCCCGGCGATAGAAAATTTCTCCACCCACATTCCCGCGTATTTGCCTCATCCCGCAATGGATCTATTCGCGAATCTGCCGTTTAATTTGCGACCCAACTGCCACTCTGCTCTCCTTTCTGGTCGTATTTTGTTAAGCAGCGAAGGTACACGAAAGGGAGATTATTTTTAATAAATGAAGAAGGAAATATTCGAATAATTTGCGAGCTGTCAAGGATGGATTAGAGTTAGGATTCGAACAAATTTCAGACACGTTTGACACTAGGACTTGACGATAATTGCAGCAGTGCAATGAAAGTGGAAGCGCATACGTGATTACCATCGGATTCGAAAAAGGCGCGGGGCAAATTTCTCTCCTCGTGCGAGTGACCCCTAAAATGAAAATTAAAGTCGAAGGAATATCGAGGGAGCCCAAGGGGGCCCCAGAGGTAAGACACGTGATAGAGGAAAAATGGTAAAAATGGTACGGCACGATAATAGTTCATGGACATGACGGGACACGGGAAATTGCAGGAGCGCGAGATATAAATTTCTTTGTCGTGTGCAGCCGGAATGCATAATCGTCGAACGAGCCGATGGCGGGGCCGATTCGGTCGAAGACAAATGGTTCTGGCCTGGAAAATCTGGCCGGACGATTTGTCAGAGCGGACTCCGTTGTTCCGTGCACTCGATATCGGGGCTGGGTGAAAACGAAAGGGCCCGGAGTGCGCTGGCTTGCGCGCGCACCGACAAGGCTACTAATTAAAAAGGTCCGGTATTGTCGGGGACGAGCATTGTTCGGGCCAGATCGAGGGTAGTGGAATTCCTGCGGGCCACCGGTGAAAGCAGCTTTGTTCTTGGCACGCTGACTTCCCGGCCTGATGGATTTAGAGCGAAAAGCCTGGCGGCGTGGACCCTGGATCGAGCGTACATCGCGGCCCCTTTGAATTTGCTCGTTGTAGGGAGCTTAATCAAATTTCTTACTCGCTTCTTCGGCCCGCCAGCCTTTTCCAGTCTCTCCCGGCCTTCGAAAACACCGCATAATAGGCTGTCGGTTGCTTCGAGTGAAAATTTCCGAAGCTAAAGCGGGAACCATCACTCGATGGACGATGAATGCGAGACCTCCGCGACTGATACGATTGTTCCTTTCGACCACAAAGGTGGACGTTTCTCGTTATCCAGCTGGAGGAGGAAGAAACCTCCTCCGTGTTCGTTCGGGGGATGAAATCGCGAAAGACGCGAGGGAAGGAGAAGCAGTGGAGAAACAACTGGTAAAGGAGGTTATTAATTAATTCGATGAACGGAACAATTGGAGAGACACGTTGACGCGACGGGCTCGCTTGCCAGGATAAACGATTTTCCTTTTTCCTCTCTCTCCGGAAAAAAGGAATCCGGGTACGGGCATAAAAAGCGGAACGGAATAAAACAAACCGCGTAATCGTTTTCATCGGGACCGCAAACAATGAAGAGGCGTGGGAACAACGAAACGGGAAATAATCTGAAATTTATGAAGCGTGGAATAAACGTGGTATCTGTTTTCTCTCTCTCTCTCTCTCTCTCTCTCTCTCTCCTTTTTCTAGTGACGTTATAAAATTCAACGACACGCGTGGAAACGGGATACGTCACTAACGAACATCTCGCAGTGGGAAAAAAAATATATGCACATCCCCTGGACGTTCGCCTTCCTGGCTTAAATCGCTGTCCACCCTCGCGATCGATTTATCCGCCGTTGCATACGTTATCGCGCAAATAAACAACCGGGTCGTTGAATATTCAAACGAGCATACCTATCAACCGTCACGCCGATCAAAGATGAAGGACATTTCGACAAATGTCACGCGGTTACCCTTCCCGTTATTTCCATCCGAGTGCTCGCAGTTTCTCGATCGAGAGCTTCCAGGTCGCCGTTTTCGTTCCCCGATAATGCCGCTGCAGATTAACCCCCTCCGTTGGCTCTCGCGCGGTGTTAAACGAAATTCCGATAGCATATCCAACCCTATCGAACGGAAATGTCAGCTATTTACGAAATTCAGGGGTTAAGCAACTCCGATCCGATGGAACCGGTCCCTCGAAACTTCTCCGCCAAGATTCCACTTCCCCTCTCGCCCTCCACCCACCCTCCATCCGCCCCACCCTCGATCTCTGTTCACGCGACGTCCACGGCGAACTTCCGGCGTACGGGCCATTTCCCTCGCGGTTTTCGCTAATTTTGCAACTAATTAAGTCTCTCTGGAACTCGATAGGATTAAGGGCGGCAGCGCGTGCGACAGAGGGCGGCGGGAGGTCGAGACACCCTTTGAAAAGCAAATTTCAGCCAGCCAGACGGAGAAACCGCAGCCGGCGTGCCGTTTCGTCGGGCAGCTTGGCAAATTGAAAACGCGTCGAAAGTTTCGTCGCTGCATCGGCCACGTGGCCCGAACCTACCCCGAGCGCGCGGGGAAAAATCGCGGCTCACCCCCCTCGTGGCTCGTTCGAACTCGAGAATCTGGTTGCAGGCCGTATTAATGCGTGCGAGCACGTAAAAACGAAATTACACGGTCGGCTCTCATGAATTTTAATGGCAACCTGTGATCCTGAATCGCAATGCTCCACGGTGTACACAGCGGCCATTTGAATAACGCTTATGTCGTCGATTATACGTGTGTCTACGAGCTTTAACAGCTTCGCGGCAGCGTCTCTCAAGCCCGATCGCAATAGTAAGGCGATGGAAATTTTTCCCCGTCCTGTACACGATAACGCTTCACGAGCCCGCGTTAAATCGGCGATTCGATCCAGGCTCCGTACACCTCGGGGACCTGCAAAAAGTTCTCGCGAATGCGCTTGGAACGTGGTTGGTAGTGGGAAAATCGTGCAGGGGGGGTAGATTTATCGGTGGAGCTGGGGAAACACGCGCTACCGATATCGGCCGATCGGCGAAGCAACCCCTTCGACGCAAACGAAGCGCTTCACCCTTTGGCGAGAGACGCTCGCGGGAGACGCTTAATGGTTCTTTGAAATTTGTTCCTGTTTCCTCGCTCCTTACATCAAGATTTCGTTAATCCTCTTTGCGACTGGAAATCGTCGACGCCGCGAAGTTTGCCGGGCGGAGGGATTGAATTACGAAGGCTCGTAATCGGAAGTTCTTCGAGCTGAAAAATTATATTGCATTAAGCGAGTCGAGTTCCCGGCGTGTCTACCGTCAGCCTTAACGATATACCATTGACGCGAACAACGCGGTGTTTCGTCGTCAAACTCGATCTCAATTAAATCTTCGGATTCGCGTGCTCGCAGCGTCGGGAAATAAGGCGAAGTCGGAACGACGTTAATCCTTCGTTGAACGTCGAGTTTGACGCGTTCCGAGCGCAATCCCGTCGTTCCTTAGTTAACCATCGGAGGATTCAGCGGGACCCGAAGTTCGCTGCACGTAGCCGTGAAGAATCGAGGGAGGTTACCTCCTCGCGGAGTATCCCGCGATGATCGTTAGAGTCCTTACGGTTCACCGGTTGCTCCCGCGGGAGAGGTAAAGTCTTCGGGCTTAATCTATCACCGTGGCGTATCAGCGGACGTGGAAACAGCTTTCCACTCGGAGACAAACGGTGTTCTTCTACGCTTTATTTCCGCCACGTTACGCGCGGAACATTTGTCCGGAATGGCGTGTGGAATATTGGTCAAGGAACACAAGCTCATCCGTGACGTGGAAAAGGTTCAGCGATCGTTGCCGCGGCGAGCTTCCTAGATAGAGTCGTCGAGGTGGAGATGAAGGAAATCGGGGGTGGAACGATGAATCCGGCAACTACGTGGCCCGAGGAATTTACGAAAACAGTCGGAGCGATGGCGCGTTGTGGCTAAATGCCCCGAAAAATATTCAACCTCTCGGCGAACGGAGGGAAACGGTTGGTCGAAAGGTTGCCGGTATTCTAAGAATCTTATCGTTTCTACCAGCGTTGTCGAATTCTTGATAAAACGCGAACTTACAGCCGACGCCTCGGCACGCCCCGAGATGAGAAACGCCTTCCTGTTTTCGCGCACGAGTTCCGCAAAGAAGCTACGTGCCCGGCGTGCCGAGCACGGCTTTTATATTTTATTATGCTTTACGATATGTTCTTATCTTATTTCGCCCACGTGTCGAGTGCGAATTCACGCCGGGGAATTTTTATCGGCGACGATCAATGAGGACTCGAGGGCGACGAGGGACCTGGAAATCTCGGCACCTCCATGCTCCTTCGTCTCCCTATTTTTTCCCCGCTCGCGTGAAACGGAAACACCGTCTCTTCGTGTCTGTTGGCTATACAGCCAGGCACCTTGGAAATTCTGAATACATCAGAGTCGAATGCGAAGCGGTAGCCGGCGTCGAGGGTCGCGTTCATCGACCATAAATTCTGTGGCGCGCGTAAATTCGGCCATCTTGTTGGGACGGATGCCCGCTAACGATCTCTATAACCGTTTAGCATGATCCTCGACGTTCGCTGTAGCGCAGAAAAGATACAATCGTCCATGTTCTATAGAATCTTCCTGAAACGACTATGCGTAATCTCGTTGGTTAATTAACTCGACCTCGATCGGGGAATTCTTTAACGATCGTGACGTTCTCTATCGAGGAAATATTAACGGATGATACGTTTTGTTACAGGTCGGACGCACGATTCCACCTACACCCTGTACAGATTAGGCGAGAGACTGTCCACGGGCCTGAGGCTGTACGTGGAAACCGGAAGGACGGACGGGCTGGACGCCGACGGGGACTCGCCCAACAGCCTGCACTCGTTCACGGGCCCTCCAGTGCCACAAGGGGAAGGGACCAGTGTCGCGAGGGCGTTTTTGGATGGCAATCATACTCTAATAAGCATCATGGCTCGCATCAACCCCAGCCCGGACTGGTTCGTCGGGGTGGACTCCTTTCAACTGTGCGTGGAAGGCAATTGGGTCGATACGGTGACCGTCGAGGTAATTATCGTCGACGGTGATGATTGACTTCGATAGAGGAAATTCCGAAATACACCGGGGCTTCCTCCGCAACGATGAGCTAACAATTTCAATCGATCGGGCTTTAACGACGATGGCTCGAATTAGGCCGAGCAGCATACGGAAAATTAGATCCAAGCCCCGGAGAACTTCGCATTCATCCTCGTCGAGGCACTAGAGAATCGAACAAAAGCTAACCCGGGTATAGAGAAGAATCTTTTTACCATTCGGCTACGCGTTCCCGTATTAGCGATCTTTCGCTCGCGTAAGACCGACTCATCTCTTCGTCTCTTTTCTCAGTTGGACCCGCTGGACGGTGGAACCGATAACGGGTTCACATTCACGGCTGCCAACTGGCCCACGCAACCCCAAGGAATCGCCTACAGGATCACGTCACGGTACCCGGCACATCCCGCGGGGAGCTTTTATTATCCGAATCTACCTCGTCTGCCGCCGATAGCCACGCTCACCTTCACCAAGGTAACTCGCCGTTTCCTCTTCCGCATACGATTGTCCCGTCGATTACCCCGTGACGCGACTTCGCGATCTAAATCGGGATCCACGGTACTCTAGCAGGCACTGCCTGTTTAGATCGGTGCACGCGGCTTCCGTTCATTACGCGTCAAAATACTCCCTCGTGCAGAGGGAGAAGAAAAGGGGGCTGGGTTAAAACGAGTCTATCACTTGGTGGCCGATTGTGCTTTATTCCGTTGGATATGATGTTAACGCATCGCGTACGACACTCTGGACACATTTTTAAACGTTCCGGAAACACTTTATACGATGCATACATGCACCTTTTAATTCGCATTTGGTATTATATTCTCATAAGGTGTTAGATAAGAATACGCGAGACTTCGTTGCCCTGGTGACGTAACAGGAAAACTATTTTTAATTCCTTAAATCATCGATTCAGTCGAAGAAACCCGAAGACGAGATATCTCGTCACCCGTACGCAGTGTGTTAACATGCCGGTCTCGTTTCCCGCGTGAAACTTCCGTGATCCGTTCCTCGAGCTACCCTTCTAAAGGTGGGCCTCCTTTGTTAATCCATCGCGCAGATCAAGCGGATCGTCGCTTCGATCTGACGCCGGTTATCACTGCTACGTGTTCGTCACTCACACGGCCTTATCGGTAACCGGAGCTCACACATTCTTACATGCTCTTACAGTTGGTTCATCGTCAACCTAGAATCCGCACGCCGGTATTAGCTGTTCTTCACCAAAATTCCCGTCTGTCCAAAAATACCGTCATCGTCATCGGTGACGCGCAGCTAACAATAGGATCGCGAGCATTTGTACCCTGCAACCCCGATCAGGCTCCTCGTCAACTACCCCAGTTGCTGCTTCCGCGAATCTCGGCGTTTCCCCTCGTCTGCGAGCACCTTCCTTTTTCTTATCTCGAGAAAAGACTCGGTTCTCTCGCACCACGGCGTTCGAACGAACAGCGACAGCGGCGGTAACGAGATTCGAGAGACAGGGTCTCGCGTTAAACTTGCTAATTATGTCTTCCCGACTTCCTCTTCTCCTTTCACCCTAACTTACTTTCTAGCTCTGTCTCTTGCTGTCTCCTGCCAGCCCCGTTCTCGGACCTGTGTTTCGGATAGTGACAAGTCGCTTTCACCACCGCGACAGTCGCTGTCCCCTGTCCTCTCGCCAAGCCTGACCCGCTTACCCTATAATTATCAAACTTTCCTCGCTAATCCTATAGACCCGCCGCCGTATCCGACGCCGTTTTTCCGCTACCTTTCATCCCATTCCCTTCTCCGCGCGTTTACGTAATCCGGGCCGACTTGCTTCCCCGAAGACGCCTCGTCAGCTGTTCCAATAAGCGTCTCCTGGAACAACTTGCCCCGAAACGCGCGCGCGATGTGCACCCCTGCGCGAGGTCGCAGCTGGTCCCCCCGAATAAATTCGGAAATATTGACAAAATCTTGCGGTGCTGGTCGCGTCAACTGTGTCAGTGTCGCCTTTGTTCAACGAGGGTGTCCTCGTTGTTGGATAGGTCGGTCACGTCCACAGGTGTATCGCGTGACAAAGAATGCCAGAGGAATGGTGCACCGGCGAGTCTCGTTTCGTGCTTTTCGTCAATCTTAGATGGAAATTCGTGGCGGCATCGTTTTCACCCTCGCGACTAGGTGGATTTCACGGTTCAAGGTGGTAGGAGGATTTTCTTCGCTTAGTGTATACGGAATTTCCAAAATTTCCAGTAGCACCCCAATCTAAGACAGGACCTGCTAGGTAGCCTTGGCGATGAGTCCCCAAGCAGGCCCCAGGACGAAACGCAACAACGACCCTTCCTTTTCCTTTCGATCCTTCCAGCACCACCGTTACAACCGATCGCAACAACCTCTACGGGGAGGACCCCCATAGAAACTTAACGGTTCCCAACTACGAAGCGATAACTCGTCGCACCAGTCCTCCATCTTATTCGAGATCTCCCCGGAACAGAGGATGGCCGAGATCGCAGTGGCGTTCATTAAAGAAGACACTCTCGTCGACTGTCGATGAAATTCCTCGCGAGCCATAACTCACTCCCCGAGCTAATACGATCTATTCCGGCCCGATCTCTTCCTTTTTTCGCGCGTTTTAACCGGGCATCGTAAATCCAGCGGACGTCAGTGCGGGTCGTATCATTTTTCACAAAACCGATTCGACGTCCACTTTTTCACCGTTTCCCAGCGGCCACGGTTTGTTGGCCAACGATGTCACCAGTGGACGGGACGGCGTGTAATTTACAGCTGATTAAGCTCGCTGCTGTTTCTCCCACTCGACCAGAGAGAATCATTTCGCGCGCGTTCATCGAGCAGAACCGTCGAACCGTGCGACGTTAATTCACCCCGCTTTCCCGTGTAATTCGCGGCCGCCATTACGGGCGAACGGGCGACGTCGTGGACGAGAGGACGTCGAAGAGGACGCGTTCTTCGCGTGGTGGCTGGGAGAAAGAAGGAAGGATGGAGAAAGAGAAAAAATGGAACGGTTCCATTACGGGCGAGCATCTTAGGTGCTCCATTAAGCTGGAAATTGGAACGCGCGACGTAATGTTCGCCTGGTATCGCGCGACGGCTTTCCCATTGCCGTGTACCGATTCCTCGAATCGATAATGTTTATGTCCTCGGACAGGATGGAGGAACGGCCTGGATCGGTCCCGGGGATACGCTCGAGCGATTACGAATCGTTGTATAAATCCGTGGGATCGTCTGGGCTGATTGAAATGCGGGGAAAAGATAGGGCGGTTGGGGGTGGGGGTAGCTGGAAATTACTTTGAGACAAAATGGAAGGGATCTCGCGGCGGATTAACGAAACGGCGCCGCGTTTGCCTGATATTCTCGTACATCCGGATAACTATGACTCAAAGACGCGCACGACGGAAGGGATAATTGGAAATTTTCCCTAATGCTCGCGCAGGTTCGTTTTCGTGTGACCCAGTTCATGGAAACGCGTGTGCTTAACGTTCTGAATATTAATATCCTAAGAGCTCGCGGCATAAATAGAGGGCGCCGCGGTTGGGAATCAGCCGCGATACGCTCGGGGACCGTGGATTCGGCCCGGCAAGCTCGGTTATCGTTTATGCCAATTAAGCTCGCTGCGCGTAACGCCACGATATTAGCCTAACAAAGTGGCCATACTTGCTCGCGCGTTTGTTTTCATGCGTCGGCAGGGAAATTATATATCAAGGTGGCTGAACGTCGCATTGGTATCGGAAATTGGCTCTGTGCTCTTTCCTACTGTACCATTCGGTGTTTATCACCCGTGCAATCTCGTTTGTCGCGAATTCCTCTTGGCCGGATCGTCGCGGATAAATAGTAATTCCGGTTGCCGTCGGTTCCTCTTGCGCCGGGTGGTGGATCGAAGAATTAAAGAGTTTAAACGACGGGGCCGTGGCCGATAAAGCATCGGCCGTGTGCCGATCGTACCCGATCATAATTGTTCCCCGGAGGACTGGCTTGTATCTCGCGAGGCTCGTTAACGCTCGTAAGCCGTGAGTTAGTATCATCGGGCGCAGATAAAGGGAGAGAGTTAGTTGGCAAAGCGGCGCCGACCGGATTATCCCAAGTTGGCTGAAAGCAATAGGGCTTGGTTAACCGTGACACGGACGCATACAGAGACATATTTCGATGTTCGCGCGTACTTTACGTAATTACCAACTATTCATAGCCGGTCGATTATCTCGGCTGTTCTCGATTACGCCCTCCTCCTCCTGCGCAGCATAATTTGTCTCCTCGCTGCGTGAAATCGTGGCACGGCACCGGGCCGCGAATTAATTCCAATCGACTCGCGACTAACCCCCGTGAATACCGGTAATTACGAGTCACCTCGGGCAAAGTATCGACTACCTGCTTTTTAGCCCGACGCGCGTTAGAGGCCGAACGCGTCTCGTCCAACGTAATCCCGTTCGACGAGAGACACTCGCGGTATCTGCGGCAGCCCCTCGTTAACCACCCCGACTGCGACACTCGCGCGGGCTAATTTGAATTAAAGAAGAGTTATGGCGCGGGGCAGGGAAACGTATACGAGGGTGGATCATTCGGATTAAGCCCGGGGCAATTGGGATGATCGTTTGCGACCCCTGTGTGACCAATCCGACCCCGGTATCGCGGCGTCAACGCGCGACGGTGTCAAGATAAGCGACGTTGTTTCCAAGACGAATGCGAGAGGCCGCCGACTCCTCGCAGCCTGGGGATCTCGATCTCGGTGTTTATCGACGGGGCTGTTTATTCCACGCGTATCGCCGCTTCTCCGAGTCTGTCCCAACAAAGATAAGCGTATCGAAGCTGCTCGTCTCGCGACTATCAATCCACATCCGTCCACGAGGATGCTTCTGCCTCGCGGTCGCCCATCGTCCCTCCTTGGCATCCACCCAACCTTCCACTCGCCATTTTCCACGCACGATCTCTCCTAAGCGATGCCGTCTGGCTAAGCAGAGGGAATCCCGAGGGAGCATCGTGTCGGCTTCCGATCGACAAACTTCCGATCCATCCGGCCAAAGGGACGCACGCAACCAGAAAATAAAAAGGCTCGAAAAATATTTTCCCTCCGCTGTCTAACACCGCGCCCGAGACCTTTTGTTCCGACAAGAGGTCTCCTCTCTTTCTCGCCCTCCTTCTCCTCCTGCTTCTCTCCACGAGTCCGTGGAAATTCGATTCCTTTCTCGCAAGGAAAAAGCGCGCGCGTGTGAAGGCGGTGTACGAGGCGCAGCGGAATTCCGGGCACGCAGTCGCGGGGTAAACAGCGACGCTGGGCGTCGAAAGAGTCTCGGCTTCGCCCTTTTCCAGGGGCGTGAAAGGGCTCATTATTATTTCGCCTTCTCGCAGCGAGTCTGGGTACGTAAATAAGCAGCTGTATTAGATTTCCACGGCTGAATAGCGCCGAAAATATGTGCCTCGCGTGGAAATATCGGCAGGTCGGCTGATCGCGCAGCGGAGAATCTTATTTTCCTCGCGAGTCTCTAAAGAATTCCACCTCTGCTGGATATAACAAA